CACGGTACCAGGCTACACCTCTTGAAATTTTGTAAGATAATAAATCAACTTATTGCTAATTAGTTGACTGATGTTACTTGCAATTTAAAATATCAAACCATTGCAGTCTATTAATTGTCCCCCAGTATCATTCCTCTCCTACTTCCTTTTAGTAATAATCCCCTATGGTTTTAGCTGAGTCTGTGGCTGCCCTGCTAAAGAATACATTTCCCAGCTTCCTTTGCATCTTTCATGTGACTACGTTCTGGCCAATAGGATGAGAGTGGAAGTGACATATGTATTGGGCCAAGTTCTTAGCTGGTTGATCTCTTTTTCCTGATCCTTATCACCCTTTTTGCTGCATGGAGAGGGCAACAAGTGGAATAGACTCAGGAGGAAGCCAGAAGTTGAGAATGACAAATCTGAACTGTTACATAAGCAAGAAATAAATCTCACAGATATTTAAGCCCCTATTTGTAGGTTACTTTGTTACAGCAGTTTATTTTGTTTTCTAGCTAATTAATACAGTAACCACAACACACCTCCACTCAGGAGTGGTACAAGTCAGGGTTCTTGTTGCAAGCCACACGAGGATAGGGCAAAGGAGAGGCATCTATAGTGGGAGGTGGTTTCTGTGTTCCCTGAGACTCCACACAATGTGAAGCCCCATCCCCTATAAGGAGTAGTGGTTGGATACTGGGGGTCCAATTGTAATAGTCATCGTACTAAACACTCCATCATAATAACAGCTTCCATTTCAAGTGTGTATCATGTGCCCAGCACAATTCTATGTGTTTTACCTCTCATTACTCATTGAATCATCACAAAAACCCTACAAGGTAGATGTTATGTAAAATCGTATTTTACAGATGAGGAAACTAAAGCACAGAAAGGTTAAAGAACTCACTCTTCCTCAAACATGTCAAGCACACTTCCTCCCTGGGGCCCCTCCTGTCTGGAAAGATCTTCCCCCAGGAATCCATTCACAAGGCTCAAATGTCACCTTTTCATTGACACCTTCTCAACCACTTTATTTAAAATTAGCCTGGGCATGGTAACTCACGTGTGTAATCCCAGAAGATCAGGAGGGAGGGTGAGGCAGGAGGATCACTTGAGGCCAGGAGTTTGTGACCAACCTGCACTACACAGGGAAACCTGTCTCTACAAAATATGATAACAATTGGCTGAGCATGGTGAATTTGGTAAACATAGAGACAATGAATGAATTTGGTATCTTTTTCACATGCCTGCCGTCCCAGGTACTTGGGAGGCTGAGGGAGGATTGCTTGAGACCCAGGAGGTTGCACCACTGCACTCCAGCCTGGGCAATAGAGCAAGACCCTGTCTCAATTAAAATAAAAATAAAAACTAACATAAAATAAAATTGCATCACTCCCTCCCATCTCCATTCTACTACCCATAGGGTAACCATATAATATATCATCCAAACTAGGATGCTTTTGAGAGTAAAAAGGGGATACTAAGTTGGGTGCAGTGGCTCATGCCTGTAATCCTAGCATTTTGGGAGGCCGAGGGAGGCAGATCACTTGAGGTCAGGAGATCAAGATCAGCCTGGCTGACATGGTGAAATCCCATCTCCACTAAAAATACAAAAAAAAAATCGGTCGGGCATGGTCATGGCACATGCCTGTAGTCCCAGCTACTCGGGAGGCTGAGGCACCAGAATCACTTGAACCTGGGAGGTGGAGGTTGCAGTGAGCCAAGATTGTACCACTGCACTCCAGTCTGGGCAACAGAATGAGACTCTATCTCAAAAAAAAAAAAAAAAAAAGTTATGCCAGGGCAACAGGCAAAAACTGCAGCGGTCCCTGGCAAGCCCAGATACACGCCATTCTTCCCATCCCCCTTCCCTGCTTGATTTCACACCATTTTACCTGTTAGCCCTGCCAAGGTCACATTTTCCTTATTTGTCTGTTGTCGGTTTCCACCCACTAGAATATAAACTCCATGAAGGCAGTAATAATTATTCTCTATTTTGTTTACAGCTCTGTCCCCAGGGTCTAGTACAGTGCCTGGCCCATAGTAGTCACTCAGTAAATATTTATTGAATGAATTAGTAAATACATGAATGAATGGGCATCTGGTGGTAATGGGTGGGAAGTGAGGAAGAGGCCATAGGTTCTCTTTCAGACTCAGAAAGGGCTGAAAAGTAGAAGCCTCTCTCCCCTTTACTGCTTGGCTGTTCTACTCAGAGCCCAGCTGCTTATTCCACCATCAGAGGTCAAGGCCTCAAAGGGCCATGCTTGCTGCAGTCACCTCAGGCTCACAGCACCTCTCTTCCAGCAAGAAGGTCCCCACCTCTTTGGGACCAGACCACGGTCCTTGTTCTTTCAGCTCCCAACCTGTCCCCAGTGCCAACTTGCTCCAGCCATGTGTAGCTGCTGGTCCTTTTCCAACACAACCATACCCTGTGTCCGTTCTTGCTGTCTGGAACCTGAGCACCCTCCACTCCACCCCCTGATTGAGCGTGCCAGCACCTGAACTTGATGAACTTGAAGATATGCGAAAATGAGGCATGAGTTTGGCTGAAGTGTAAATAAGCACAAAACTTTGGGAGAGTAGTTTGGCTGAGGTGTCGAATTTCAAAGTAGAATTCGACATATACAGGTGTAGAATTTCATCTACAACTCAGCAATATCACTTGTAGAAAGATGTCCTCAGAAACACTCATTCATGCGTACAAAGATGGCTGAATAACCCTGGTCACTGCAGCACTGTTTATAAGAGACCAAAAAACAAAAAAAGTAATGAAACTGGAGAAGAATTAACACTGTTAAAATGTCCTACAGATTCCATGTAATTCCTATCAACATTCCAATGACTTTTTTTGTAGAGATAAAAAAATTCTAAAATTCTAAAATTTATAAAGAATCATAATAGACTCCATATCGTCAAAGCAGTCTTGAGTAAAAAGAACAAAGCCTGATGCATCATACCAGCTGACTTCAAAATATACTACAAAGTTATCATAATCAGAATAGCATGGCACTGGCATAAAAGCCCCCACACACAGACCAATGGAACAGAATAGAGAGCCCAGAAATAAATCCACATACTTACAGTCAATCGATTGTCATTGAACATGCCAAGAACACATAATGGAGAAAGGACAGTCTTTTCAATAAATGGTGTTGAGACAAATGAATATTCATGTGAAAGAAATTAGATCATATGCAAAAAAATCAACTCAAAATGTATTCGACTTAAATGTAAGATCCAAAACGATTATAAGAAAACAGGCAAAATGCCATAGCATCAGACTAAGCAATGACTTTTTGCATATGACCCCCAAAACACAGGCAGGAAAAGTGAAAATAGACAAATGAATTGCATCAAACTAAAACAACACTGCATAGTCAATAAAAAAAAAAAAAGAGTGAAAAGACAAGCTATAGAATGGGAAAAAAATTTTGCAAACCATACATATGATAAAGGGTTAATATCCAAATATATAAGGAACTCAATCCAACAGTAAGAAAGCACAAAGCCTGAATTAAAAATGGGCAAAAGATCCAAAGAGATATTTCTCAAAAGAAGACATAAAATGGACAAGTATATTTTTAAAAATGTTTAACATCACTAATCATCAGAGAAATGCAAATTAAACCCGCAATGAGATATCACCTCAGACCTGTTAGAATGGCTGTTATTAAACATATGAAAGATAAAAAGTGTTGGCAGGGATGTGGAGAAAAGGGAACTGTTGCACTGCTGATAGGAATGTAAATTAGTACAGACATTATGGAAAACAGTATGAAGGTTCTTCAAAAAATTAAAAATAGAACTACCTTATGATCCAGCAACCCCACTACTGGATACATAACCAAAGGAAACAAAATCAGTATATTGAAGAGATAGCTGCACTCCTCTGTTAATTGCAGCATCATTCGCAATAGCCAAGTCATAGACTCAATCTAAGTGTTCATCAACGAATGAATGGATAGAAATGTGGTACATATATACACAATGGAATACTATTCGGCTTTAAAAAGTAACGAAATGGGGCCGGGTGCGGTGGCTCATGCCTATAATCCCAGCATTTTGGGAGGCCCAGGAGGGCGGATCACCTGAAGTCAGCAGTTCGAGATCAGCGCGATGAACATGGAGAAACCCCGTCTCTACTAAAAATACAAAATTAGCCAGCGTGACCAACATGGAGAAACCCCATCTCCACTAAAAATACAAAATTAGCATGCACCTGTAATCCCAGCAACCCAGGAGGCTGGGGCAGGAGAATCTTTTGAACCAGGGAGGCAGAGGTTGCGGTGGGCTAATGAAACGCGGTCTCAAAAAAAAAGAAAAGAAAAACGTTGTCGTTTACAGCAACATACATGGAACTGGAACTGGAGGACATTGTGTTAAAGGAAATAAGCCAGCCACAGAAAGACAAATATCTCATGATCTCACTTACATAAGGAAGGTAAAAAAACTGAACTCACAAACTTTCAGTTAGACAAGAGGAATATATTCATGAGATCTATTGAACATGGTGACTGTAGATAATAACAATGTGTTGTATTCTTGAAAAAATGCCAAGATAACAGCCCCAAAATGATCAGTATGTGAGGTAATATTAACTAGCTGGATTTAGCCATTACACAATATATACATATTTCAAAACTATTTACGATACTTACCATATTTAATTTTCCCTATGTATCACTTCATTTGGCTGTTCATTTTTATCTCTTATACTGTCTTTTATAATAAACTGGTAATAGTAAGTAAAATGTTTTCCTGAAAAACAACAAACTGGAAACAACTGTTTAGCAACAAGAAACTACCTGAACAGGTAGAAGGAGGTGGTAGCTCTGTGTACTGAAATAGAATGTAGTCCGAGATAAATTGTCTAGGAAAATGAAAAGCAAGTTACAAAAGAACCCACAGTATGACGTCATTTATATTGGAAAAAACGCCACAACTATGTGTGAGTGTGCACATTGAATAAAAGAAAAGTCTGGAAAGAAACTAACGGCCAGAGGCGTCACAGATTGCAAGGGGGAGAGGCAGGTTTTGATGTGTGTGCGTGTGTGCAAAGTTCTGTATTGTAAGAATTTGCTACGGCCTGTATTAGCTTTACAATGAAACAGGTAGAAACCGAAAAGTTAAATTACTCCCAATTCAGTTTAGGTTCTGTCTCCGGAAAATTTTCCTGGATTCCCCAGCCCCCACTCCCCGCCCCATCCCACCACCCCCATTGCCCTCTCTGAGTCTCCATTTTCTTTTCCGTAAGAAGGGTTTTCATCATTTAACCTTATTTCTTCTGAATGCACTAAATGGTAGTTAACCTACCACTTAAGACGATGTCGGAAACATGGTTCATTGTCTTGATCCGCGCGACTCTAACTAGCTTGAGTACATTTTGGGGAAAATTTAGGAGTCAGGGGAAGAGGAGTTCCAAAAACAAACTACTAGGGGGTGCAGCTGTCCAGGAAGACTCCTGAAAAGAGCAAAGAGCTTCCGACGTTTTTCTCGACAGGCGCCGAAGTTTTCCGGAAAGAGACAACCAGCCTGGAGGTGGGCCCCAAAGCCGGCTGCGAGAGTCACCGAAGATTTCCGGAGAGGGCCGAGGAGTGGGGAAGGGCCGCTTTCCGAGAGTTGCCGAACGCTACGGAGACAACGGAAGAGTTGGAAGGCGGGGCCGCAAGAGCCATTCCTGCAGGGAACCCAAGGCTTCAGAGTCTAAAAGTTGAAAGGCGTAACCACTCACAGGCCGGAAGTTTCCGGGGTAGACGCATTCGGGTAGCAGAAGAAGTCCGAGGATTTCCGAAGCGAGCCGAGGCATCGCGATCGTTTTCAGGGACAGCTGATCGGTCGGAGCTGTTTCGCGGACTACAGTCATGGCGGCACCCAGAGCTGCTGTGCCGGACGGTGGCGAGGAACCAGCGCCGGAGGCTGAGGCTCTGGCCGCGGCCCGGGAGCGGAGCAGCCGCTTCTTGAGCGGCCTGGAGCTGGTGAAGCAGGGCGCCGAGGCGCGCGTGTTCCGCGGCCGCTTCCAGGGCCGCGCGGCGGTGGTGAAGCACCGCTTTCCCAAGGGTTACCGGCACCCGGCGCTGGAGGCACGGCTTGGCAGGCGGCGGACGGTGCAGGAGGCCCGGGCGCTCCTCCGCTGCCGCCGCGCGGGTAAGGTGGGCCCGGATCCCGGCGTGGGTGGCCCCGGGGCTCTGGGCCTTGGATGGGTGAGGGACTTTCCTGCTCTCCGAGCCTCGATTTGCCTCAGCTTCTCCTTATGTGCCTTCTGCCGTGGCCTGCCTTTCGGAAATGTTATTCTTTCATCCCTTTCTTCGTTAAGTCTTAAGAAACCACGTGGCCTTGCAGGGTCAAGCGTTTGTCCTGGGCCGTTCTGCCTGGTTCAGATCTGGGCTCTGTCATTATTGCTCAACGTTGAACATGTTTAACTTCCCTGAGCCTTGGTTTCCCTATTTGACTGGTTTCAATTTTCGATCATTATCTATTCACTTACTAGTCTTAAGAAACAGATGTAATTACAAGTATTTGCCCTGGAGCCAGGCTCTTTGGGTTGATATACTAACTCTGCTGCTTCTTATGTAGCCTTTCAACAAGTTATTTAGCCTCTCAACCTCATTTTTCTCACCTGTGAAATGGGAGCCATAGTAGCAGTATCCATGTCATAGGGATGTTGTGACCATTAGAGAAGGTATATGTGCCATGTATTATGTTCGAATGTGTGCCTGGCACATAGTGCTCAATAAATGCTGGACTTCATTAAATTGCCTATTTATTTTTTCATTAAACATCATTGTACGCCAGCACCATAAACCTTGTCCTCAGATGGGAAATTGACAAGAGAGAAGTAACTTGCCCAAGGTTGCACAGCTACTAAGTGGCCGGTCCAGGCCCTCAGGTCCGTGTGCCTCTGACTCAGAAGCACTGGCTTTTCACTTTTACACTTTTTGCCTTTCTTTCTTTTATCAGTATTTTTTAGACAGCGGTGGGCACCAGAACATTGTTAAGTGCTGGGAGATCAGGGGGAGGGGAGCCGAGAAATTCATTAGCCAACAAGCAGGCACATGCTGCCCTTGTAAAGACTTAAGATTTCATGAAGTTATTTGTGTGTTCATATTTCCGTTTTCGGCCTCTTATGATATGTTAAGCAGGGATTGTATTATAACTGCCTTGTTTATTGCTATATCCCCATTGATTTATCTCTAAGTTTCTAGAAAAGTATACTGAACCTGGTTGACTTTCGGTAAAGATTCGTTGAGTTTATTGGTGCTATTGTTCTATGTTATAGCAGCAGAAACTGAAGCTTAGAGAAGTTAATGCAACTTTAAGATTAGACAACTAATAAGAAAAGGAGACAGGATTTGAACACTGTCCTCTCTGAAGATAAACCTCGAAGTCAGCCACTGCTTGGCCTCCTGTTTGTGACCTCATCAGTAGAACCTGCCCTGACTGGGCTGTGCCTTGCTCTTTGTTTTTGTTTTTGGTTTTTGAGACAGTGTCTCGCTCTGTCACCAAGGCTGGAGTGGTGCAGTGGCGTGATCTTGGCTCACTGCAACTTCTACGCCCTGGGTCAAGCTATTCTCCTGTCTCAGCCTCCCAAGTAGCTGGTACTACGAGCTACTTGTATTTTTGTATTTTTAGTAGAGATGGGGTTTTACCATGTTTGCCAGGCTGGTCTCGAACTTCTTACCTCAAGTGATCCTCTTGCCTCAGCCTCCCAAAGTGCTGGGATTACAGGCATGAGCCACTGCACCTGGCCTTTGTTTTGTTTTTTCAGGGAGAGAGTGTGATAAATGAAGTTCAGTGAGAAAGGGTGGTTTGGAAGGGAGGAGGAAGCTTTTGCCTCCTCGACTTAGCTGTGGGGTGGTCCCAGGCATAGTCCTGCAGAGGGCATGAGCAGGGGAATATTCCAGATGAGTTAAGTTGTACCATTTCATGCAGCATTCCTAAATCATCCTGAAATAAGTAGATATAGTTGGAAAAACTGGCTTAATCTTTGAAAATTAAGTTTACCATTAAAAAAGAAAATCTACCCCAATAACCACTTATGTCTTGATTTCAGGAATATCTGCCCCAGTTGTCTTTTTTGTGGACTATGCTTCCAACTGCTTATATATGGAAGAGATTGAAGGCTCGGTGACTGTTCGAGATTATATTCAGTCCACTATGGAGGCTGAAAAAACTCCCCAGAGTCTCTCCAACTTAGCCAAGGCAATTGGGCAGGTTTTGGCTCGAATGCATGACGAAGACCTCATTCATGGTGATCTCACCACCTCCAACATGCTCCTGAAACCCCCCCCGGAAGAGCTGAACATTGTGCTGATAGACTTTGGTCTGAGTTTCATTTCAGCACTTCCAGAGGATAAGGGAGTAGACCTCTATGTCCTGGAGAAGGCCTTCCTCAGTACCCATCCCAACACTGAAACTGTGTTTGAAACCTTTCTGAAGAGCTACTCCACCTCCTCCAAAAAGGCCAGGCCAGTGCTAAAAAAATTAGATGAAGTACGCCTGAGAGGACGAAAGAGGTCCATGGTTGGGTAGAAGAATGTGTCTGACAACCACACACAGTGAAGCTGTTTTTTCAAAGTACATTTGAAGAAATGCTGCGAGTAAGAGAGTAGATCTAAGTAAAGGTGTTAAGATATTTTTAAGTGGTGTGTGATCGTGCCTGGTGTGTCATCATCTGCACTAGTGGAGCTTTCTATGTATCTAAGACACGTTCTAGGTGGAATTGGGTATTTAAAAGTAAATCTGGGACAGGCTTTCCCCCAGGTTGTGACTTGTAAATCTCAGGTACATGGGTGGAGCATTGAACCACATGAGAACTTCATTCTCTTTTTAGTCCCTGTGAGACAAGGATGAAGTCCCAGTTGCTGATAGTTGTCTTTATCAGCCCCATAACCTAATGTTTTTTTGTTGCACATGATATATTTATCTTGAAACCAGTTTAATGGGAATACAACTAGAATTTTTTAAAATGAAGTAGAATTACAGAATAGACAATATCAGCATATTGTTTTATGAAACTTTCTCATGTGAGACAAGGCTATGTACTGAGCTTTGATGTCAAATATATTTCTCTTTCAGGGTCATAATCAAAAAATGAAAACTCTGTTTAACTCCGATTTCTCTCTTAAAAAAGCAGACTTACAACTTTCAGGCAACTGAGATTCATGTTAACATTGTTTTTATTGCTCTGTATTTTTGTGGTTACCTTCTAAGTAAGACAAGTGATTGATGTAAAATTCCTTTTAAGTTTATACAGGTAAGCAAACTGAGTTGATTTCTATCACAGGCAATAAGTAGGTAGAGCCAAAACGGTAAAGTGACTCGTGAAGACTGAAGTTTGATGAAGTCTGGCTTAAGGCACAGGTAAACTGAGTGTGGATTTAGAAGTACTAGGAGCTAGCTTTTAACCTTGCCCAGCCTCAATTTCTTTCCCCAGAAGAAGCCATGTGTGGGTGAGGAGGGAAGGGAGGTATAAAATACCTGTCTTCCTTGTAAACTCCATTCAACAAACATATTTTGAGTGCTTTCTCTGTTCCTTGGCACCATATTGGGGATGGGGTACAGTGGTGAGCCAGGCAGACACAGCGCCTATTCTTTTGTATGAAAATTTATTTTTATAAAAAAAGTATACAGTATGTTTTCATATACATTATGAAATGATTACTACAGCTGAGCTACTTAACACCCATCGCCTCACATAGTTACTGTCTTGTTTCTTAATATGGACATTTACAGCTGTGCATTTCCCTCCACACACTGCTTTCATCACACGCTATCGGTTTTGGTATTTTGTGCTTTTGTTTTCATTCATCTCAATGTATTTTCTAATTTCTCTTGTGATTTCTTCTTTGACTCCTTGATTGTTTAGAAATCTGTATTTCCACACACTTATGAATGTTCCAGTTTTTCTTTTGTTACTCATTCCTAGCTTCATTCCATTGTGTTCAGAGATGATACAGTCCGTGCCTGTTCATGTGAAGCAAACATTCTGTAATGGTAGGACCAGTACCATGTCTGTTTCATTCATCACAGTCAGCACTCCCCAAATGCCGAACACGGAGTGGATGGCTAGGAATGAGGGAAAACTTCCCTACCGGGGTAGTTGTGACTAGCAGAGAGGAAAACTAATATTGCCCGCTTACTGCATGTCAGGCATTTGGGCTAGGAATTTTTACACTGGATCTAAAATAACTCTTAAGTTAGGCATTGTCCCCATTTTATAGATGGAGAAACTGATCCCAAAAGGTGGGAACTTGTCCAAGACATCACAGGTAGCAAGAGGCACTTTTACCTGGCTCCAAATCTGTATTCTTTCCACTGACAAATGAGATATGGGATATGGTGCTTCTTTATAGCACTGTAATAAGTATTGGCATATAACATTTTTTAGGAACTCCCAGGGCCACAGGAGCTGACAAGTTTTTCAGTTAATATTCCCAACATGACTGAGATGGCTCATTCCTCAGTTTCCTCACATGTACTATAAGGCTAGTACCTGCTTTGTGCTTTTGTGCATTAAGTCAACAAATCCCTTAGCTGATATGGTTTGGCTGTGTCCCCACCCAAATCTCATCTTGAATTGTAGTTTCCATAATCCCCAGAGGGACCCTGTGGGAGGTAATTTGATCCTGGGGGCTGTTCTCGTGATAGTGAGTTCTCACAGGAGCTGATGGTTTTATAAGGGGCTTTTCTCTTGTTCAGTACTTCTTCCTGCTGCCATATGAAAAAAGGGGAGTTTTTGGCTCCCCTTTGGCCATGATTGTAAGTTTCCTGAGCATCCCCAGCCATGCTGAACTGTGAGTAATTAAATTTCTCCTTTATAAATTACCCAGCCTCAGGTATGACTTTATTAGCAGCGTGAGAATGGACAAATAAGTACTGACTAGGTGCCAGGCACTGGAGATTGCTATAATAGAGGGGAACATAAGACAGTTTCAGACAGTGGTGAGTGAAGATGTGAAGGAAAACCTGAAAACACAGGAGATGACGGGAGCATATCCCAGGCAGGCTGTGGCGTATAAAGTTGGTGAAGAAGGAACATCCCCGACGGCAAGGCGGATGTGGCCGGCATCAGCGAGCAAGGAGGAGCAGAACCTGAGTTGGGAGAGGCAGAGCCAGATCCTGAAGGGCCCTGTAACAAGGTTGCATTGGTTGCTGGCAGAAAACCTAGAGGGCAAGAGTGGAAGCAGGAAACCTGGAAGTGAGGCAACTAAAAGCAGCTGGACCCGTGAAAACATTAGCCAGGGTAGAAGCCATGGTGAGCATGCGCCAACTGGTTGGCACAGGACCAGGCAGCCACTGAGGCAGGAAGAGTGATGGAGGAGCAGCCTTGTCTGGGGTAACACTGGAGGTTTCTTGTCTCATAGTTACAGAGGTCAAGGATGTGGACCCACAAAGAGTGAGGTTAAGAACAGAAATTTAATAGGTGAAAGAAAGAGAATAGCTCTCTGCTACAAGAGGGGTCCTGGAAAAATGGGTTGCTGGATCTGCAGTGAAATGCAGGGGTCTTTATAGATGAGCTGGTGAGGAGATGGTGTCTGATCTACAGAGGGCATGAAAAACTGGTTGGACCAGGTGTGCCATTTGCATAGCGTATGCATCTCGGTGCCCCCACCGCAATCTTTTGTGCATGCGAGTTCTCTGGGCTGTGCCATGTCGCCCACTTCTTTATGACTGTACACTTGGTGAAAGAAAAGGGAAGATGGAGCCTCTGTGCTGGACATGCCGGGCTCCCAGGCATCCCTTTTCTGTTGGCACAGCTACCAGCATTCCCCTGTGCAGGCATCCAGCTTCCTTATCTATGTTTGCAGCTGGATTTTTCAGGCTGCTCTTTGTTAGAAAATAAATGATTTCTGGGGCTGCTTTTTGTTAGAAGGGAAATTCTGCCAAGGATTCTTTTGCCCTCAATATCCGCCTAAATAATTTCTTTCTGCCTCCTGTGTCAGTGGCCAGTGGCGGTGGGGGTAGCTGCAGCTGTCAGAAAACAGTCATGATCTTTGCAAGTATTGAGATTGGAGACTGGAGAAACTTCACAAATGCCCCCAGGAGAATTGTCCATCTGTGCACTTAGCCCACAGTGGCACATAAAGGGTTAACAAACGTTCCTATGTGAACAGTGGATTTCTTCCCTAGTTCAATCTTACAGATGGCTAAGGAGCCCTCTGCACTTTCAGATCCTTTGACGTCCACGGGGGAGCTGCAGGTGCTTTACAGAGCTGAGCCAACACATCAGCAGTTTTGTGTGAATCCCCACCTGAACCCAGCCAGGTGAGGATTATAAGCTCCATTTTACAGTGGAGGAAACCCTCGGCAACGGGAAATAACCTGTTCTAGGGTGTTAGTGACAGAGCTGGGATTCAGACCCGTGCTTTTAACAGCAGCTGACTTTATTATAGAGTGACTACGTTCTTTGCATGTATTAACCCATTTTACAGAAGATGCAAATGAGACACAAGAGAAATTAAGCCTTGCCCCAGGCCACTCAGTGAATGGCAGAGCCAGGGAAATGTGATATGACACTGAGATGCGACCAACACTTGACACAGGCCCACATTCCTGGAACATTTAAAAGTGCTTCTAGGCCCAGTCCATGGGGCCAAGAGAGGTAGTTCCAGAGCAGAGCTGCTTTAAAGCTGGTGTAGTAAGTGCTCCAGACAAGCGGTGTTCTTATTGTTGGATGGGCTGAGCTGACCACGCCCACACCTCGTGCTACCTTAGGGGTTGGGAACACCTGCGTTAGTGAAGGCATGCAGGGCATAATCTCTGATTTAACTGAGAGTCAACCATATTCCTGGCCCTGCTTCCAATAAAACTTTATTTACAAATCAGACAGCCTGTGGGCCATAGTTTGCCAATTTGATTTTTAAAACCATCCCATTAAGATATTTGTCTTGATTATTGAGTTTTTTTGGTGCCCCCTTAAATTCGTGCCTCACTTGCTTCACTCTAGTCCTAACCCAGCCGTCACTGACTGCCAGAACCCTGATGGAGGAGCCCGTGTTCTTACAAGTGTCTGCACCTGCTGTGGTTTGAATGTGTCCAAATTTCAGGTGTTGGAAACTTAATGCCCAATGTAGCAGTATGGAAAGATGGAGCCTTTAAGAGGTGATTGGATCCTGAGGGCTCTGCCCTCATGGTGGATTAATCCACGTGTGGATTCATAGATTAATGGGTATTATGAAAGCAGGACTGGCGGCTTGATAAGAGGAAGAGGGACCTGAGCTAGCACGCCCACCATCCTTGCTTTGTGATGCCATGTGCTGCCTCAGGTCTCCGTAGAATCCCCAACTTCAAGAAGGCTGTCACCAGATGTGCCCCCTTGACCTTGTACTCCTCCATAACAGTAAGGAATAAACTCCTTTTCTTTATAAATTACCCAGTTTAAAGTATTCTTTTAAGAGCAATAGAAAGCAAATGAATGCAGCCCTAACCTCTTGGGGAGCTAGGAGTCTCCCCTTGGGTCCTTAATTCTAGGCACCGCAATTTCAAAGGAC